TATGTAATAGTAAATGCTACTTTTAGTCAGAATTTGATCTGTATTAGTATTAAGTCGTATCAAAATCTCTACCAGATGTTGATATGAAAATTTGAAAGTGGTAAGGTAGCAGCTTAACTGTCAATGTTACTCATTCCTATGCAAATTGGAAATCTCTCAGTAAAATTCATTTGTCGCTATATAGTCTTATCAATAGTTTTTACTTCTTTGAAAAATATTTAACCTCAGTGTGTAAGTAACCTGGTGAGTTTTTTTTAATTGTTTTTTTTTAGTTTCTTTTTCTAGCAAATATCTACAACGTTTCAAAACTTATATGCCTATTATCTTTTAAAGCCCGCTGATGTCAATTGAATAAAGGCATAGAATGGCAATCATGCAAGTTAATTGTATTTGGTGAATAACAAAACACCTAAAAGGTGTGGTAAACGGAAACTACGCGTCGCTGACGGTAAATACTGAAAATGAGCGGATGAATACGTTTATTTACGATGATGTAGTGGGCGGAAAAATGGGCGGAGCTTATTTTATCTCCTTGAAAAACGTGTTAAGCTGGATCATGCAGATCCGAATGATGATTGTTTGACAATGAAAAGCTAAGAAAATAACTTCTGTTTTGTAGGCGTATACACGAACAATGAGTATTCTGCATGCTATGATGAACACTGGGTATTGCTACTATCAGAAAAAAACAGTTAATATTTTGTCGTTTAACAAAATGTATTTTGTTTAAATACATGTTTACAATATTAAATCGGCAATCTCAATCCCAGAATACAACATTGGAGTTTACATACAAAGAAATACAAATGTATTTTGTCTGTAAACAAACTGTTCAAGTCAGATCAACAAGGCTAGATTTTTGTCAACGAATAGCCTCCATATTCCAAAACATACAAACCTCAAGTGTTTGCCCATAACATTTCCATATTTTGCATAATCGTTACAAATTTGTTCTTTACCAATAGCTCCCATATCCTATTTACTTGAAAGATGAACACAATCTTTGAGTTTTTGTTTTTTTAACAAGAAATGGTTTTAGTGTGGAGTCCATTTGATTATCTTTACAGAGAAGCTTATTCTAAAATAAATAGTGATGACTCTTATAATTTTAAGGACGCTCTGACAACAACAAATAAGTTGTGCATCTGCTCCCATAAAATAATAGTTTAATCCTTTTATAATCAATAATGGTTGCAAAAATTAATGTCTTAAATATACAATAAAACTTGATAGTTTACTAATTGTTTTATCAGTAACGCAGTACCGTATATACACCAGTGTAGTTATCAACAGTGGCGACATGGCCGAGTGGTTAACGCGTCGGACTAGTAATTTAATGATCGCTAGCCGCATAGGTTCAAACCCCGACAGGAGCAAGTCGTTGTTTCCTTGAGCACGAAACTTTACACTCATTGCTCGGTACTGGTTGGTTCCAGGAACGGATTCGAAAGTGTGTCTATAAGCTTAAAGCTTCCTACACAATCGAACTAAAATAAATTCTGTATAAACCAACAGTGTGTTTGATACGTGACATAAGCGGCAATATCTTTATTTTGGTGCTACATGTGTTTACTTTCTGTTAGGAATATTTTCACAAATAAAACATGGAATTGATGTAGAAATAAATAAACATTAATGATATCGTAACAAATTAATTCAAAAATGAATTCTAATACGACTTGAGGTAGTTCAAAATCCTGACAGAAAAGGTACTAATTAGGTGAGATTTGGCCCAGATACAAAATAACATACATATCACGTCGCGCAGTACAATTAGTTGGACATAAACTTTAGCTGACTTGCGTCAGCCATCTTTTGATAATGCCATCACATCGGTTTGGTGAAACAGCCTTTCATTTCTTCAACCATTATCGACATTATGATAATATCAGAATTTCCTTGATTAACATCAAGTTACTTTGATTTGAAATTATTTCTTTAATCTTTCCCATGTTTTCCCTCCATTTTATGTCTTCTTCTAAAATTAACTTAGCAATTAATATAAAATATTTAGTCGAATGAACTATTTGTTGTATCGCCAAAACCTGTAACGACATCTGGTTAGAAGTGGATATTTCATATACTGAAGAGAGTAAATACGAGTAGGTGCAACACGGTAGGTAAACGGAACAAAATATATTATACTTACTCAAAATGAAAGAAATAAATTTGCGCGTACGACTTTTAACTCTATTTACAAAAAATACAAAGAATATCGCCAAGGGTTAACCTGAGATTTCGCAGTAGGTGAGAAATAAACGACGAACGACAGACACAATGCCATTAGAAAAGCTCACTTGAGAACATTGTGGTAAAAGTAACGAGGACAACATCATGTCATTATAGTATAAATTAAATACATATAAGAATAACAAAAGAAGTGAAATTGTATGCAACCTTACGGTTGAAAAAAGGATAAATAAGATCAACAAGGAAAGGCGGCGTTCAATGAACGCAACCCCCACACGATCCTAGAAAAGACTTTTAAAGTATGAAATTTATGTTGCTATTATATGTTTAACATACCAAATTTAAACTCCTCTTCATTGTTCCGAATAAAGGAATAAAGCCATTTATCCTGAAAACATCTCCACAAGAAATAAATTAAATGTTCAATGCAAACATAAGACTTGTTTCAATCTAACTGATCGAAAAATATATTTTTCAAAGAAGGAAGTTTGAAGATCTGTTCAAGTGTGGGGGTTATATGTGCAAAAAGAGGTACAAGAAACCCTACCATAATATCTTATTGTTTAATCTTAATTGTTTGGGCGATAATATTTCGTATTATGTTTCATACTCTGAATAAAATTGGCAGCTGTTTTACTCGACAAACAAATGCTTAATTAAAAAAAAACTTTTTTAAAGTGTATAAAATCCTATTTAAGTTTTGAAAAGGAATTCTTATATTTGTATATCTCATTAAAAGGGACTGGCGCATGCATGAAATAACTGTTGAACGATTAAAACCCTATTTATAATAGCAAACATACTATTTTTTTCCGGAAAAGTGTATTCTGTTTACATGTGATATTCATGCATTTCAAATAACAGAGACAATATATGCTACAATAAGTATGATGATCGAAACAATATAAATTTACTGTTACAAAATATACAAAAATATTAAGAAGATATGGCTTTATACCCCTTTTAAACTTAAGGTATACATAGTGGTATTAAAGATTATTAATGTCACATGTGTACCTTAAAATCAATCTTCAATAACTTCAATGATTTAAACATTTATTCAGATCAGATATTGTTTTTTATAAATATATATGCTTTTAATATCTCTATGAACGTTACAATACATAGTCTTGGCTTGTTTTGATTCATTGCCTACTTTTTGAATTCAGTAAGTAAGTCCGATAAAGACATATTCATCACTAAAACCAAGTTTGTCAGACATAATGTCATTAAATTGCAAATATTTATATACGTGTATGAGATATAAAAATATGTATGAGATATAAAACATATGTACTATAAAGAAACATGTATGTGTTATAAGAAAAAAAAACATGTTTATGATAAAAATAAATGAATCCGATATTAAATACATGTGTAAGCGATATAAAAAAACCCTACATATATTAAAACATTAACATTAAACATTAAAACATAAATACAATAACGAAACAACATGTAAGCTACATTAGAAACACATACATGCGATATAGATACATGTTTTTCTGTATAACTACATGTTTGCGATAACAATACACGTTTGTGTTGCGATTTAATTACATGTTTGCAATATAGATACGTGGGAAACAAATATATGTAAACGATAACAATAGATGTATAAAATGCTATAAGGTTAATATACATTGTTGAGAACAAAGCTGAATTAAACATTGGACAAGTTGTCGAACCTTTATTGGATGTTTTTTTGAAGGGGTAGGGGTACGTCGCACCAACACAGTATAGGTCATATGACAAATTTCCAGCTTTACTGACAGAGGAGGACGTCATATGCCCATATATTCATTTTTTATTCAAAAGCGGGTAACTGAATAGAACCATCCACGTAGCGTTAGCTAGCTGAATAGCTTTATCACACAAACGAATCCAATGACGCTTGCACCGCTCGAACCTACAGCGAGTGGTTTGAAGTGATCGAACAACGGAACAGGTACTAGACTGTATTCAAATCCAAAAGAATCAATATGGTACTAAACAATGCAGATGTTTTGGCATTAAGACATTTATCAGTAAATTAATCAGAAAAAATTAAATATAATAAATATTTGATATGCATTTTTTTGCATTCTGAAGATAAACACAATGCTAAATTGATTATATTATGTATTAGTTATATATTTTTATTTACTCTGAAAATGAAAACGAGGCAATATGGAGAGCAATACACATTTCATATGATTTCTTGAACTCCGGAAATGAAACGAGGCTAAATAGGCAGGATTTTGTCCAATAATGATATCTCTTCGAACATAATGTAGCGCAAACGCTGAAAATTCATTGGTTGCATTTTATAAGATGTGAAATAACATTCGATATCAATACGTTTATGCTGTATAATAACATGCATGTTTTCCATCTCCATCCCAAGGCGTACACGTCGCAGATATGGCACACGGCAGGAAAAGGTCAAGTCACCTCAAGTACCAGAGACGCTTGGTTTACATGTCGTGAACAACTCGGGATGGTGGCGCTAACAAGAGACGTTTTTTGGTTCTGCCGTCAAGAAACTTGAAGCCTTTGAAGTATTGCCGTAACTCCAACCCGACCAACGAACGGAAGATCAGCATGTTCACACGTCCCGATGTGACTTCTTGAGTGAAATGGCATGGATGCTGATAAATCTTGGTCCGGCGCCACGTAAAACAACAGCAAATAACATGCATTACTCCGACATCCCCTGGCGACGTGCCGCCATTTTGGGATGACCACTAACACGAAGGGAAGACCCCAAAAAAATGTTGCCTCCCCGGAAAGGTGGGTTTTTTTCTTTTTCCATCCCCTTTTTCACGATGCATCCCTGCTATGGGATGACTGTACACACAGTTTACAAGTACAAGTTGTCTACAATTTCGCAACGCAAAGAACATCTGTACATGCCAAAACAGAGATACAGTGCAAATGACCATATAAAGGCTTTTATGATAAATCACATGAATGTGACTTGCTCTCTCCGGGAATCGAACTTTGGCAGCCCGATTCACCTGTTCTACTTATTGAACTAACCATACGGCTAAAGACTACATAGATAAATAAACTGTATCCAATATATACATTTTCTGCACATGCTCTTTTTTCATTATAATCATTACTCTAATGTATTGCGAATTTTTAGACATGTAAACCTATATATAAACATACATATATATCAATATATAAATGTTATAATATTAGAGGAAAGTACTCAAGATGTCATGAATGATGTAAGAAACAATGTAACAAAAGATTTAAAAAATGAATAAAAGAAATATCTCTGTATCAGATGAAACATTTGTTATAATATCTCAATGTTTATAGTACATATATAATTTTCTTCTCAATTTTTAAATTGTAGTTATCTCCCCTTAATCGATAAACTATGATAATTTGATAGACCTTTCATAAAGAAAATATAGGATTACATAATCATGTCCTCTTTCCTTGAACAACTTACTCTCAGCTGATTGTTTTTGTTAATCCAAAAATGTAAATAAAGCTAAAACATATAGTGAAAAATACTACAACAGCAAAGTTACATATGTTAAAAATGATATTTTCATTGATACTGATTACTTATGATGTACCAATCTCTTGTATAGGTGTTAAGCCGTTAAAACAGTAATTTACTTTAAACCATTTAATATATGTTGACAAGAGCTTTCGTTGGTTTCAAGATCAAGAAAATCATAGTCGGAATCAATCTGTAGATATATAGTATACTTTACATCAATATATAGATATATCAGTATACTTCACATGAATATATAGATCTATCCGTATACTCCACGTCACGTTAATATATAGCTTTATCCGTATACACTACATCAATAAATAGCAATATCCGTATACTACAGATCAAAATATAAATATATCTGTAAACTCCTTGTCAATATGTAGATATATCCGTATACTCCACATTAATATATTGATATATCCGTATACTCCACATCAATATATAGAGATATCCGTATACTCCACATCAATATACAGCTATATCCGTATACTCCACATCAATATATAGATATATCCGTATACTCCACATCAATATATAGCTATATCCTTATACTCCACATCAATATATAGATATATCCGTATACTCCACATTGATATATGGATATATCCGTATACTTCACATAAATATATAGAGATACTGTGTACTCAACCGACGATGCCCGATGGAAACACAATAAAAGTTCTCATAGAGGATAACCGAGATGTAAACATTAAAAAAAATTAAGTAAAGATGTAAGCATTAAATGAAATAGTAATAAACAAAAGTAATATATAAAAACATGTAAGAATGAAGTAAACATGATTTAAAAAGTAAAATTGCTACAAATTGAGAGATCATGTAAACTAACAATTTTTGGTTTCCTTTTGCTAGTAGATTGCAAAACACGATGTTTACAAATATGTGTCAATTAACACATTGTAAACATTAAGTTGCAGTAATCTTAAGATGCAAAATTGGAGTACGTGTTGTAAATCTCCAGATACGCTGAAACACACTCGTAACAAAACTTCAATTGTTCCTGAAAATATACCATCATTCATTGTATATAAAGATATATTATAGTCTATTGAAGCCGAGAATTTGCAACTACCACCTTGTTTATAACGTATCATTAGTGAACGAAACAAAATGGAGGATATGGAACAAAATGGTGGATGAAAAAATGATTTGGAACAAAACGGTAGATTGATAACGAAACGATAGATGGATAATTGATTGGCAAAAAGAAACAAATGTCTTGGATTGAACATTGAAGAATGGAAAATATAGATGAATAACTTATCTAAAAATGCATTTTAATTTAACAATGATGCACTATGTCATGTTGTTAAAGACTTTTTCGTGTACTCACCATTGATGTAATTGATTGTGGTCGGTGTGTACGGATCTTCCTGACTACATTAACTACACTGACTTGTCGTTCAGCTTCAAGTTTCTCTAGAAGTTTGTAAACGACACAAAACAGACCACTTCTCTCAAAACCATTCCTTAAACAAATATTTTTTTTCCTTTATATCTTCTTTAAATAAAAAAGTCTAAGATGAGATATACGAAAAGACGAGATATACGGAGTATAGAGCCTCCTTAGATCTATATATATAGATCTACCTAAGACAGCTTCTATTTAGAGAATCATTTAGAACTACATTATTCCATATATCATATCAGTAATCTATCAATCGGAAATATATTTCGCTGTAAAATTATTGTTATCTTCGTCCATCAGCAGCATTATACTAGGTTTTGTCCAATTCAATCTCAGGTTTCTTACTATTAATTCAAGCAAATGATAAAATTACGAAACAAAAGAAACAATAAAGAACAGGAATCGATTGTAAAACACAGAGTTTGCAGAAAAAGTTTAATCTAAGTAAAGTTATTTTTCCATTAATTGCCAACCATGCCTTGAGGTTACAAAATTTTTATATGACATTTGTCTCGGATCTCAAAAGTTTCATTGATTTGTGTATATCCTTTGCTTGTTTCTGACAAATCAAATACCTGTGATACGAGTTTGAGATCAGGCAATTTTTACCTGGTCAGTGTTACTAAATTCTATGTCAGAAAATTAAGGTCATCTATGACAATGTTAGTCTCCAGTACATTATTTTCAAATAGTGTCACGAGACAAAAGGCACCAATGCTATCACTTAGATTCCATTACATTTTCTTTTTATACAACTAGAAAATATTCAAAAATATAGACATTATCTGTTGCTATATTGCTGACAAATTTTGAAGACGAAAGTGGATACTAAATCGGATATTATTACAAAGAATTTAACCATTTCTTACAAGCAATGTGCAATGATATTTGGATCATCTTCCGGGTCATTAGCAACATATTTTTCCACTTCTTTAACAAATTGTACAAAATCCATGGCGCTGTCGGGTACTTTCTTCGCTGTTTGCCAGTTTTTGTACTGGAAATGAAACACCGATTTCTTCTGGTCCTGTAGAGAGAAGACTAATTTGTAATAACAGTATGACTACAAAGATAAAATGAACAGATTTAATGTTAAACTATAAATTACTTATATTTTTGGCATGCCATATCACCCGGTATAAACGGTTTTCAGCGGTTATGCTTTTTTTGTTTACACGGTCATAGTGATAATAGTATATGTGGGTGTATATAGATATTATAAATCTCACGATTATCCAATAAAAGTAACGTTACAAACGTGCCGTATCATATCATAAACGGTATAAAGGGCATATTATGTCTCAAGAATCCACATTTGTTTTTAATTATTTAGAAATGTCAAACGTGTTTAATAATGTTTTAATAATGGATTATGTGTATTTTTGATGGTTTACAACTGAAATTAGAAGAGCTGAACGTGCAGGTATAATTCGTAAAGGGATGAAAATGTTATCAACGTAGTATTTTGACTTCCATACAAAAAAATGCTTCGCTTGAATTATACCAATTGCTAACAGAACTATCGATGTGAAAGTAGGGAGTTATGATCTTATTGTGTTCAACAGCAACTGTCTTAAATTGTAATTACTAAAAACTCAATTTTTACAATCGTTAAAAATAATCATAAACAGAAATGTTAATTTTCTTTTGTATTACCTTCGTATAATCTTTGACTGTCAGTTTCTTTAAGATATATTGTGACTTTGTTTCATATTTCGAGCTTGTTACAGAAAAATTTCCGAATGTAAAAGTCTCGTTATCAGCAGGAAGGTATTGTCCGACATCCTGAAAAAAATATAATGATTAACTTTACATATATGATGCATATAATATCTCATGGTAAAAATGTAAAGATTTGTCTGTTCAAATGGGTTACTCTGTTGTGAGTATACTTTACGTTCACGTTAATCTCCCGTTACTCTAATGAAGCAAAATCATCAATGAACACATGGGGCTTCTATACCTCACCTTAATTAATAAAACTTAAAACAATATTTTAGATTTTTTTTGTCATGAAAGCCCTAAACAATATGCTTTTATAAAACATTTTTTAATAATATTACGAACTACATTATTTTGCTTAAATTTTACTTTTAAATGGTAAGAAGAAACGTCAACATTTGAAGGCAATTTATCGCATTTCTAAAATAGTGATCTATGTCATGTACATGTATTTATTACACATTTACAGGAGATTTCCAATTATTATTTCCATTAGACGTAGACATTAAGTAAAGAATGTAATAAAATATTTATTGCTGTAATATTTTCTATTGTGATCACTCGAAGTTGAAGCTAGTTAAACATGTACATGAATGTACAAATTAGAATAAATTGACATGAAACTGATATACATCTGTAATACTGACTTTGCTAGGAGTATTCTGATCCTCAAGAGCGACAACACAACACGTGTGCTGCTGGAATATCATGCTGAGAAAGTCCTCGACAGTTTTAGGAAGTGGTGTTTGTGCAGCAATGAACAAATTCTTGATCCTGAAGCTCTGTAATCAACAGTAATTTATTGTACAACGATGAATGGTTTCCAAAAGTGTTTCTCATTTAGAAATAATCAAATTCCAAGATTTGAAGACAACGTATTCAATAATCGGATATCTTAAAAATCGATTTTAACGGATATCTGCCTGTACTCTACTTGTAATCGGTAAACAATCAGGGTTATGCTTCAACCTACAGTGTTCCGTTAGGGCAATCGACTATGAATGAAGTAATTTGAAACGTGAAAAGCCGAAAAGACAAGAAATTGAATCGCAAAAGAAGTTAAAACACGAAACGACAACGACGAAAACACGAAGAACGGTGAAGAAGGAGCGAAGACACAATGACGAAGGAGTGATAATTATAGACTTGAATTTGCCATTTCTTCGCATCGTCGTATTTTTGCGTTTCAGTTTCTTTATTCATAGGCGATAGTCCTAAGGGAATACCAATCAACTCCTGTATCATTTTATACAACATTTCATATGAAACATGTATATAGATATAGAACAGACCATACATTTGATTCATTATTACCCTTTATAACAGATAAACAGATTTGGCACTGGATTGATTAGATTTTATTATGAATAAATGTTAAACCGATTGTTTCATTTTACAGCCGGAAGAAAAAGAATAAGTAATCAATCAAACAACGTCAATGGTATTCATTTCATTGTCAGTTACTTCCCTTTAATTGTTATTTTATATTTTCTATCCGACATACGTCTTATTATTTTTTCAACTTACGTTTATAAAGACAGCGTTGATATAGTCATGCTTGCCTTCCGTTCTGCTAAGAAACAAACGCACTCTGCTGCTATCACCTTTATTTAAATAGAAACAAGTTACAAGTTAAGAAACAAAATATTTTATCTGGGCAAAATATAATTTTGTGTTTAACTGCATTATTTGCAAGATTCTTCCAAATTCTGTTTCATCTTTGTAATTCTCATAACATTACTACAGTTATCTGATAATAGCTCATATCAGCTATACAATTGAAGATATACTTGTTTATTGTATATGCTCAAATAAAACTTACATGGTACATTAGAATTTCGTCTATTTTTATCTTTATATCTTTTTCTGTTTTCTTCTCTAGAGTTTATTTCATCCTCCGTCTCAATGTCAACTTCTAGTGCCAATGTCTGTAAATAGTTACTTATAAATTAAAGTGTAAGAATTTAGATAAGTCAAACACACAAGCACCGTATCAAGAATAGATAAGTGCATAAACTTAAGGAAAGGGAAAATATCCGCAAGTGTATAAATACTGCTTATATAAAATTGCATATTGGCTTTTTGGTTTCATTCTTATTAAATATCTGCATTTTTTCCAATGCTTTTGAGTTTATTTCTCTGATTGTTGGCAATTATCTTTGCAGCTTTTTGCAACTCAATGCCATGTAAATCATATATTTTTCAGTTTTTAAAGGAAAAATGCATAAATTCGGGGTTGTTTGAAAGAGGTTGGTAAACATAGAACAAGAAAATTATTAATATCTGTTCCGTCAGTTTAATTCCTCCTATATGTAATTCAATCTAACCATGTAAAGATTGGCAGATATTTTTTATGAAATGAATACAAATGTGGTATAGATAATGTAATGTTTAAAGTAATCAAAAATTGAACAACATTTAAGATGTTGTAAGATTTTTTATATACCAGGAATTAAATAAATAACCGTTAACTAACCCTTGTTATTTTTCTGAATGTATTGCTCTGCCTTCAATACCATGATTCTCTGTATTTCTTTAGCTGTCCAAATGTCCTCACATCCGAATGAGAGTGAATGGAACGAGAGCCCTTGTGTAGAAACTTGCGTATAGCTGCTCCTACAAATACATAATTTTAAAGACATTTATTGATTTGTTAGAAACACTTCAAACAGAAAAAGACTACAACTTAGTTACGTTTATATTAGTAAATTTGGAATGCAGTTATGTGAATATGACGCAAATTTTGTGACACCGACACTATTCAACACATGACTGAAATAAGCAACACGTATACTAAATGGACCAATCTTAATTATAATTTTAAATGATCAAACACGCATCACATATATTTAAAGGAAAGAGGTTTACTTTCAAAATCATTCGTGACTACCGTATTGAAGGCGACATCTACGTTTCGTTTTCCGAAACATTTGCCTATCAACCTATATCTCTCAAAGCAAATGTGATTCAGACGCTTTTAATGAAGTAATAGGTCGTGATATGACGTAACAGGTCCTGCTCCCAATTTGAATTTAAAAAAAAATTTGGGGTTTTTGTCATTTTTAAAATGTTATAACTGAATTTTCTTTGGTTTTAGGGTTTCACTTTTCGTTTTAAAATTTGGGTAACAAAAATTCGGCAAAAAGTAATTGGGGTTTTTTCCCAAAATTGTATCAATTTAAAGAGATTTCTGTTGAAAATATGCCAAGTTAAATCGTATGCACATACATGCGAAGTGCGTTAACTGAATAATCAAATAGTCTCGTGATTCGTTGCAGATAGCCTTGTGTTTCGATATTCTTTCTATTACTAATACCCCGGTACAAATAAATGTTACCATTAAAGCTTCACATTGCTTTATCGTTAATAATAGTTAGGTCAATCTATATATCGCTATATCTATTTAAGGGACTCCACAGAGGCTTTTTGATAAAAAAAATGCATCAATTGATGTACGTCTTTACCAATAACTTGTGGTCATTTGCTCACTCCGTTTTTCTAGAGTGATTATTCTAATTGTGGAAAATGATCCAAGATTGAAAAATGTTATAGTCGATCTATATAAGTAAGACAAAAATATATTTTAAGGCTTTTGGAGCTCGATGACGTTCCTTTAAGTTAACTTACAGCGGTTTGAACCATGTTGACTCTTTGTTGTCTCATTCTGTTTACACAATCGAATATATCTACATAACCTTTCTCCTTTCCTTCCTGTGTCAGAATGTCAAGACCGATATATGTTCCGGTTCTCCCTACTCCAGCACTTGAAATATAAGAAACAAATAGATTTTACAATCCGATTAACATCAACACATACATAACGCTATGCATAAGGATGTAACACCCATAGGTAGTCACCTTCTCGTGGTCTTTCAAACAACCGACCATTGGCGATCTTTCATTATTTTGAAAGCAATGGAAACCAATATCGACATTCGAAAACAATCTTGTCAATTAAAATATGACTCTATGTTTTCAAGTTAAATTATTAAAAAATACTTCAAACATTTTCTTTTCTAACAATTATCAACAATTGTTTAACTTCCACGGATAACGATATTTTGATACTTCTTCTTATGTCTATCTGTAAAAACTGGTTTGGTCGCATGTCCAAAATAGCTTTCTCCGGAAATTCGGATTATAATTAATGCGAAACATATACTCTGGTCATTAGATCTACATGGTTTGAACTTTAGTCAGTTTGATAGATAATAGTTGTTAAAACACATGTCACGGTTCAGACATGCTCACTTGTCTATGAGAGAATATGTTTAAGTGTCAGTAGAGCCTCGTTACAGTATTCCGAGAGTCCAAGGTTCAAATCTCTGTCAAGCCTCACTTTTTTTTCAACCTGTGAAATTTTTGGTGCACAACGGAGGAACATGACTGCATATAACGCAAAGTTTAATCAGCGTTGCTTTGTAACCCTGAGAAATGTGAGGACGAAATTCAATGTATCAGGGAAGTATGGCACAGTTCAGAACTATTCACTATTTCGGGGAGAATATGTGAAAGCGGCCGGATAGCTCAATCGGTACATCCGCGGTACCGTATTTCGGAAATACCGGGTCCGAGTGTTTCAGAGCTGTTACGGCATATCAATATGTAGATTTCCTATTTACGATGAGCGATGTTTCTCTCTTATCTATGCAAAATGGGATGATTCCCCTAAATCTTTTGTATTCGTTTTTAAACAATGACCTCGTGATATCCTACCAAGATTAATTATGTGGATTCAAAGTCAAACAGGCACTGTAAAGGTAAACCAGCAACTTTCAAAAGGAACACCTGGTGAGAAGGGGTTCATGTATGCAGTGTGTTACTAACAGGAAAGCGTATGTATAGTCAAAGTTATATGTCTCTAAAAATTGTTTATTAAAACATAGGGTCAATAGAAACAAAGTTATGCGAATATTTCTAGGAAGAAGCGAAGACAGTTATACACCGTGCTCCGAACATTTTCATTTAAGTAAAAAGCAAACATGAGTTTGAAATTATATGCCTAAAATTCTTAAATATTTATTTCTGTAGCAAAATGAATAAAATTATAGCAAAAATGGCCAAAAATGGTTTATGACAGAGTGAACCCCGGTCATGGTAGGTAAACAATATATAATATATGAAATACTTGTATCTGAAAAAAATTTATGTAATATGTACAATATACCTGCCATGAACCATATCTGGTCACCTGAAATGCACATGTACGAGGATTGATCAAAATGATATTGGACCTATGTACTTCCGGTATTCAGAGAATCCAACTAATGGTCTTACTTTTCAATATAATCGCCCTCTACATCAATGCACTTTGCCCATCTGTGCTCCAAGTTGTTTAACCCTTCAAAATAGAAATCTATTTTGGTCCTCAAAGAACACATTACGATGACACCTTCATTGCTTCCAAACGTTTACCATGAAGCTTGTTTTTCAGTTTTTGAAACAGGTAGAGGTCAGAAAGGGCCAAGTCGGGAGAATATGGGGGGAAGGGAAGAATTTCAAAGCCGCAGTCAGTTACAGCAGTCATCGCAACTTGGAATATGTGAGCTGGCGCATTGGCTTGCAGGAGCAAAACGCATTGAGTCAGTTTGCCGTCCTTTTACGCACACTATCTTGACACAAGTACCGTTTATGGTAAGACCTTGCTCTAGGTAGTCAATCATGATTATCACCCGACTATTCCAAAATTTGAAGCCATCATCTTCCCTGCTGATGACACCACCCTCTTGATTGTCTTCGGGGGGGGGGTGAGCCAGTGTGCTTCCATTGCATGCCGTTTTTTTTTGGTATTTCTGAATTCCATGTTGGAACCCACTGTTGTCAATACCTGGAGTTTACGATCGCGGTAGATAATATTCAGGTTCATCCTCGTAGAAAAGATATCTTGAAATGTCAAATGTGGTCCGTTTCGGATCGTAAGTCAACTGTCTGGGGACCCATCTAGCGGAAACCCTTTACATGCCATAGCCATAAGTCAGAATTGCCTGAACTGAACCTAGCAATGCTTCGCAGGTCTTGCCTTCTGTGGCAAGAACGTACACACCATCGGCAATTTCATCGTTGATGGCCTTTTTTGGCCACCCAGGCCGCTCATCATATGCAATGCTCTTACTGCCCATCTTAAATTCAGCAGCCCATTTTTTCACAGTGCTATAGGACGGGTACCCATGTGTATCCATAAAGTCTTCATGGATTTCCTCAGGGGCATCCCTTTGTTATAGAGGCACGTAATGACGGCTCTGATTTCAGCTTTCTCCGTTTGGTCTAAATGACAAACCCCTATGCTTATCAAAGTGTGTTTTGTTACTTAATTTGTGTAAAACCGCGTTTAACTCGGTCATTAATCTTCAATAAGATATCGGTATCGACGTATCGTGTGTAAATGTCAATGTATTGGCTAGAAGTATATCGGGCCGAGAACTTTTTGAAATCATACCTCGTACAGTTTTGGTATGTACCCTAATTCTTTAAAAAATGAAACTCCTTTTTATACTCGCCTACCATTACGGCCATGAATGACTCATAATATTTAAATATGTATATTGTATAAATTCAATACAGGTGGTCCATCTGCATAACAAATTGAGAGTTATAAATATATAAGCTGAGTACATCTTAATTTTCTATTGGACTAAAACCAAACTGCAACGTATATTAATTAGAACGAAGGCAACTAGCCGAGTCTAACATAGGATTTATGGAAGTTGTTGTACTATTAGTCTTATCTGCTTTTCGATATAAATCAAACGGTTTATTTTCACATCATCATTTTTGACATTAAGACAAAACATTTTGCTTAAAAGTGTTAACGAATGGTTCAAATTAGTCGTGGCTACGAGATAATATCTTGTGGCCACAATATAATAAGTCCTGCCCAGAAGATAATAAGTCGTGGCTGCGAGATGATAAGTCGTGGCTACGATATAATATATTGAGGCCATGAGATAATAAGTCGTGGTCACGAGATAAAAAAAAAACACTGCGAATGTCACGTTTATGCCACCGTACTTATTTTTACTCTTGGAAAACAATGATTGTTATTGTATAACATGCATTTGATACATTATATATTTTTCAAATCTGAAAATGATAACTAGGCTAAATGTTGTAATATATACTTTTTATATACAGTATGGATGTTTTGGAATCTAAAAATACAAATGAGGTTTTATGGGGCAATGCATCTTGCATTGATTTTATGGACTCTAGAAATGTAAACCAGGCATCATAGGATTGGGTCTTACAATGATTCTTGTTGGAACTTCATGTGATGCAAATACTGGAAGTTCATTAGTTATATTTCATTAGGTGTGAGTAAAATAAACATATATACAGTACCTGCAATGAACTATTATTGGTCCACCTAATGTCTTAGGAACTGCATTCACCCTTTGTCTGAACTCTACAAGACTTGTCACCTCCTGGGGAACACCTTTATCTGGCCATGCTGTGAAGTGTAGTTGAATTATCTGCCTTTCTTGTTTTCCCTGAAAGAAGAAAGCAGAAACTTATTCTTCAGTAAAGAAGAACTCACTAAAGTTACTTTGTGTATCGAAGATAAAGGATGACATTTAAAACTTTATACTAATTGAAAAGCATTCTTTGTGATAAGAGGATGTTTAATGGTTTATATCGTGGTAAGATAATACGATACGGAAAATGGATAACGCTACGTTTATGTCAACTGTTAACCGGAAAATTAAATACATAGTTTAATGTAAAAATGAACACTACAACGATAATACTATGTAAGATAGAAAGTTTTTATTTTTTGTTTCGATCAAATAGAGGGAATAAGTAAAAGAACAAATTATTAGCTCGATTACTACGAGGACGATACCCAATTATTAATAGTGAAGTCCTAACAGTATATTCAGCAAACGCTTCAACACTAGCAATTTTACACTGTTATATGATCCGGACTTCTATCTCCGTATCTCCTCCTCCGGCCAGTTCTAAGCTCACTATTTCATACCTGATGAAAAACGTTCATATTAGAACCCGTTTTAACTGCTGTATACAATATAAGTAATAGCTCGCTTGGGTGGCCAGTAGAGATTATTAAATTCTGCAAGTGTGTTTATACACGCACAAATCTGACAGAGCTCTTATCTGTTGGCATCTCAGGTTTATTGTAGTGTTAAAATTGAAAACACTTAAACTCTGTAAATGAAGCTGGATCCATATTCAATAGCACAAAAGGTCTCTGCAGGTTATTGGCTTCAACATATAAATAATGTTTCGTTTCTACTTCCTTCGTATAATGAACGAGAGGATAGACTGGACAAAGCATGGCCTTTTGAAACGAAATTAAAGTCTGAATAATGATAAAGTTTCAATGTATTTATGACCTCCTTTTTAAAGAATCAAGTTTATCTGGACAAAAACGAAATCTAACAAATTCCTAATATAGATAGACTGTAACGTTAAAATACTTTCTGTTTAAACGGATGTAACAAGGAAAAAGAGCCTGAGTTTGATTTAAACGATTCGATAAACGATTCGTAACAAAACTCGTATTCATCGCATACGTATGTTACACAACACGAAAAGTATGTTTATGCTCTATTCATATTTTCTTTTTGCATTGACTGTACAGAATGTTTCTCGTAAGTTGGGTCAACATGACGACAATGTCAGTTTCTTGTACCATACCATCGCCAGAACGTGGGAGTTAGCAGTGGTCTTCTCGATGCTTGCCCTGAATATAGAAAAACATGATGTGTTGAATTACAAATATCAGAGCTGGAACATATCAACAATGTAAGCAAAATTATTAAAGTGTTCCAGAAACACAGTATATAATTGAAGGCAGCTCGAAGTTTGAAAGAAAAATGATTACAAGTGAAAAGAATTATTTATAATAGAACAATAATCGTAAATTTTCATATCAATAAAATTGATTATGCTTAATGCGTTTTAAATGATATTTTGGTAATAACTTAAAGGGACTTCAATGAGGTTTCTTTTTACATGACGAGAGTGTTAATATTATTCCAATATGTGTGTAACATTTGATGCATTACTTAAACAACAACTCGTGTGCAAATTGTAAAATCATTCCTTCGCCAGGTTTTTACAGAATAATCATTTTTGTTGCGCAAAGTGACCCCCTCCCCAGAAAAAAAAGAAAAAATAATAATGCCGCATTCATTCAAATTTGATGAATATTGCACATGCAATTGATTTTCAATTTAATTCTGAGTATACCGGTAGAGTATTACATTTTTTTTTCATTATAAGTGCTTCACTTGATCTGTGTAAACAATTCAAGTTTTATGTTTTAAGGGCCCTCGAGCTACTTAAATGATATTATACATTGTACTATTTTAATTAAATGGGGAATGCGATGGAACTTCGTGTTGATGAGAAGGAAACCAGGACTACAACATTATAATTTATAATTATCTTATTTTCGAAATGACCAGATTCTTATATTATTAAGCTATCTCGGCGTGTGGGGTTTCTTTTCCTTACGATTGTTTATTTTGGATATATACGAAAAATATGCGTAAATCAAGAAACAGATATTTTATGGTACAAACCAAAACCAAAGAAAGTATTGATCAGGAATTAGTTGACCGTGTAATAAAGATATATTTATTACAATTAGCAAATTTCGGAAGAATAAATCGGCAATAATACATCAGTCTGAACAGGTTTTTTTGTTCATGTTTAGTTTGTTTTATTAAATCTTATTCTTTTTGGCATGTGCAAACTACTTATCGCGTATTGGATGGCCTATATATATGTCCGAATTTTGTAACGTAACAATGGTAATTTTGTTAAGTTTGAAAACTATTTTTAGACTTGTACAAACTCGAGAAGTATTGATGAAAGTTGTTCCTTCTTCAACCTGAGACAAATCTCTTAAATAAATAACAGTAAATTATGGACATTCATACAAATATACAAGTTATACTGTATAACATAATGACAAAAGTTATATTATATTTATTTACGACACAAGTTATACTATATTACCTAATGAAGCAATATACTCTTTCTCCTTGCAGTAACCCTGAAATATATAAATATATAAAACTCATCAGATCACATCCCAGATTTATAATACTATAGGGTTGTAACTCTTAATGTATTATTTCTTGTTACATTTTCTTTAAATATATAGGTACAGGATATATTTTTAATTTGTATTATATAACATAATTAAGGAAGTATGGAAAGATGAAAAATATCCCAGAAGAGTTACGTATTTAAGATCAGATTTCATTATTAAACGATTGGTAGAAAATGGACGGTTTAATATTTCAACATATAAGGTGGTGTGACATTTTAAAATATCACAGTATCAGATTAAGTAACTTCTTACATCTAACAAACGTGAGATGTAATTAGATATAATTTGAAAGCTACATGCCTCCAGGTGGGGAGACAAATTTGCACAAAAAGATGGGAAAATGAAAGGTAGAATAAATCATAAATATCATAATGCATGTTGTATTTTGCGTGTTTTATGGGGGGACATTGAAAGGATATATTTCTTTTCTGTTGGTAATAAATACAGACCATTGTTGCATATTTCAACATATACCTGTATCCTTTAAAAAAGTTTTCATTTTTTTTACTCTAAAATAAAACAGTTTGACCCTAATTGTCTCGAACCGCGTAATTAATCTAATATGTAAACAATATTTAAATATACTGAACTCACATCTATGTAACAAGCATTTATAAAGAAATCTGGCAAGTCTTGAATTGTCACTCTGGAATGGTCATCTAAAAACAAAATAGAAAATCCATTAATGTGACCAGGAACTAATATATTGGTCATACCAGAAAGAGATTTGTTGCCAAAATTGAGTCGTATTTTAACTTCGAATGGTTTGTAAATACAATACAAAAATTTACATATATATATATATTAAAAACATTTCTGTCAAAAAAATAAATGTACTATTTTCTATGAAATACAAGTACACTCACTTAAGTAATAGATATTTTTACCTTCAATACGGCAAATATTCTATATTAATAATAGTTTTGATATTTCATTCTGCCAAGTAATATATATAACTGGAAATAATTAAGCACAACCGGCATTTTGCCTCGATTTTGACATAACTACAACTGTAATTTTAGATTTTATTAGGGTAATGGTGCAGAGCACCTGTTGTCAACCTGCAACAAGTGGAACAAGATCTGCACCAAGAATGGTATTAGACACCTTATGGTAGTATGAGAAGGGTAGGGCATGTGGCGGTTACACACGTTATTAAAATTTTAGCTACATAATGTTATTTTCGGTTACGTAATCATCATCATTTACCAAAAAATGCAGCAGTAAATGTTCGGTTATAGGTCCAACAATATACTTATTAACACATACATTTTTGATTCAAAACAATACATTTGCTTAATACAAACTTATCACTACTTATCACATTACTATTTCTTAGCTCAGTTAAGTTGTCATCTCATGACAGTGCTTTATTATTACCAATTTTGAATTTCCGGGACTTAACGTATTTCCTTGTATAGAAGAAACAAAATAACAGAAGTTTTTCCCCAAAATCTTACATAAATGTGGACATTTCATGCTTCATCATGCAATTATAATTCTACGTTTCCTTACATCTGCAGCACTTACTGAAGCTTTAAAAATGCATTTTTATATATAAGGCATATAAAAAACATAAAAAAATTCGTTTACTTACAAGGATAAATGCCGTTATACCGGTTCAAGGCCAAATTTTGAGGATCTTTAGCGACGCTGCAGTTGCTTTGTCAAAAATCTAAATCTTTGTTGAGTTTCTTACATTATAAGAAATTAAATTATAAAATATATACTTTATTACAAATATTGACCTGTAACTAATTAGCATGTTCGACAATTTATCTTTAGTTCATGTTAAGTCGATAAATTTCATCACTTTTGTTACATATTTAGTGATTCAACAAGCATGGTTAAATTGTGGGTTATTCGTTTAAATATTGTCGCATTTTGTGGATTATAGTGCTGGTCGTGTTAGACGTGTCAATACTATAAGTTGCAAGAGACACCTGACCTGATCAACATGTTAAGAAGAACCATTGTTCAAAACTGTCTTTATATATATAGAGCTATCTGAAAGTCAGTAAAATACTCTGCTAATTCGTTATTACTTAGGTATGAAAAAAACTAAGTATGTACAAACATTTATGTAGCAATAAACTTCTATTTATGGTATAGATCTCTATTATAAAGAGTTGGAAGAACCGGAAAAAGACAACAAAATGTCGAATATTTCAAATCATGTAGATTTATAACAGTTGGATAATTATAGTAATATGGATAGCTCGGGTGATCACACACGTTTACTTTATCAATAAATTCAAACTTTTATTGCAAATTAAGTATATACTTACTTATAGCAAATTAAAATGAAAAAAAAAACAAACAAAAAAAAAATGAAAAAAAAAAAAAAAAAAAAAAACATGAAAACATGTAATTTTCAAGAGGCCTAGCATGAAGAATTAAACAAAGATATTTTATTCCAATTAGCACAATCAAAGTAAAATAAACACATTTCTGTCAGATAAAATCGCGTGTTAAGTGGTAATTTATTTATCCTTGTTATACGATCATCGATATACAACGATCGTACAAGGAAGTTTAAAGTGTGTGAATTGTTATTGTCTGACATTTTATTACCTAAAGTCACTGTGGGTCACACATGATGTTAAGGTGAAAAAAACACGTTGTGGGAAAAAAAGAATTTATAAATGGCATAAACACGTTCAAAAGAATAAGGAAGTCAAATTATACGGTATTTGAAGACGACAATGTCAAAAAACGTTTAAAGTAGGTGTGTGTTTAAGAAAGAGAGTTTAAAAGTAGGATGTATCAAATTACACTATATTGTGATGAGGATGAAAAAACAAAAGATATTACATCATATTCTACTCCCTACCACTTTGTTTTATGTATGGACAAATACTCATTAGTGGTTATAGTTACATCTTTGGAAAAAATGAAGCGTTCCATTTTTTTTTTCAAATATTTAGTTTATTAATCGACACAAAATGTTTCCATTAACAACTATTCTATTTAATCAGCGTAGCAGCTCTATTTTAATATTTCCACCACTAAGTAAGTACATGTACATGTAATGTAAAACTGAGGCCATTCTGATGCAATACACGTATTTTATAGAGCTATAATTTTAAACAATTTTCCTGCACATATGAAATCTGGGTACTTACATTTTTTGTACATGCTTAATCAGTTTGAACTAATCAAACCTAGCAGTAAATTCAATTTTAGCGTATATACATACCTTGAATTCAGCCTCGAAGTCGACCTTTCCAGATGTAACATATTTAAGTAGATTGTCTACTTTAATTCTGTAGGGACTCTCTCTAATGTTATAGTAGGTATCATCAGCCTTGTTTTCATATTCGACTTCATCTACTTCTACCTCATCAATATCCACTGACGAAGACGTTACAGGGACTGGTGATCTTGTTTTGTTCTCTGAAAGCTGTGTGTCGGCTGTAATAGTTGGTGGTAGGTTTAAAGCGCTCTTTCTTTCTTTATCTTCCTTTGATGATGGCCGCTCTAGAACAGTAAACTTATCTTCACAACAATATAAGTAATCCTCACTAAATGGGCAAACAAGTTATCCTGTATATTAGACCAATCTTATTCACAGCCCTTATATAGGTTTAATTGAAAAGATAAACAGAATAACATATTGCATATGTACTTTGATTGTTGATTTGTAATTTTTTATAGACATAAGTGACACTATAATAAATGATTGAAATGTTAGAGCCAATAGATTAAGTACTTATATGTCTTTTTGCAAAAAGATACCCCTTTGTATTCTCTTTAGAATATTAATATGATAAGAATATGTCCGAAAATAAAACACAAAACATGTTCAAATTTAATATATCTTATTGTTATTGTGTATTTTAAAATATTCTCAAACGATTTTTGTATTTAAGATTTTTTTATCACTTGATTTGTCATTTTCTTTTTCAACTACATATATATAAAATGGCCTCTGAGGAATACAAGGTCAAGTTACTATAGTGACTCAAAAAAATGTTACCGGAAATGTTTCCATATGTATGCTTCTTTTCGTCTTCCTTGATAGATTGAGTACTTTCAAAATCTGAACGTTGTCCTTGACCTTTGTTTCTTTGCCTAAAGAAAATACAATCTTGTAATAAAAAAGGTTTGTTTTTATTTTAGATTTACAAAGCACCATTTATTGATAATACAATATGTAGTTTGTAAAATTAAGAATGCGACAAAAAAATATTCACACTGACAATTTGACAAGCATTTATTGATTTTCACAAGCATTTCTCTATTATCTTTCAAGTAAAAAATCTTAATATATAATAATTATAATAATTAATAGTTTAAAAATATTATTAATATATACACAATACCTTCGTCTGCAGAACATAAATACACCAACAATAATTGTTGTTGCTACCAGTACTCCAACAATAGCCCCAACTATTGGTCCTATTAAACTACCCTGATCACCTTTATCTTCGTCCTGTTGTGATTCTTAGAACAGAGATACGTGATATTAGAGGTCTGATGTACATCAAATACTCCGTGAAAACTTATAGTTAAAATATTATAATAACAAACTACAACTACAAATTATAGATTTTAAACAATCAACAATATTTTGAGCAACAAACATGTAAACATTGATTTGAAAATATTAACACTACTCATGATGTGTTTATAAATTGAAAGAATTGATGACATGTATGTTACCAGTGATAAATGAAGACTATCTTCTAATAGTCTGTTAGACATACAAAACGAGTCATACAAAAGAAATACAAGGGAGTTTCATCATTTGAAAGAAACATGATATTAAATATATGTAAATGAATTAGATAAAAAATAAATCCAAGATCATCATACAAAACTTGAAAAGTTTAACATAATGTAAAATCGAATATACTACAAGCAAAGTAAGTCGTGTCGGTTACTCGTATTAAGTGAAACTGTCGGAAAGGAGGTTTCTTACCTACGCAAGAAAATGTTTCGCGGGGATTCTTGGCCATGCATGTGAAATGTAAGTAAATACATTCATACAACCTTTCAACTTACAGTGACCTCTCTAACGAAACAGACTATACGATAACATAATCAAAGCAAGGTAAAACAGTCAATAAGACAAAAACAAACCAGATACTACAAAACATGGAGGATACTACACATCAGTGATCAAAAGAAATCGATACACAGGTTACATGTATATCATCATAAAAATTATTCAAATTGTTTGACGATAATTTGTGGAATAATTTATTAGTTTCTAGCCATAACTGCTTTTTTTGTACATTCATTCTAATGCCGGTCTGTGTAATAAATATTCTACTGCATTACTGACGCAACGCAATAAGAATATTTAACAGTGATTAAAGGAAGTCGTTTCTTACCTGAAACTGCAGGGCAAATTGGGTCATCTTTCACTCTTCTTTTGCAACCTTTTGTACATTTGCCAGTGCTTTGGTCACAAAGTGTATCATTACAATTAGAAGAACATTTCTCTGAACACATCAAACCATGAAAACCAGCTTCGCACCCATACAGACATTTACCATCTGTCTGCTGACATAAACTTCCATTTGCCGTTGTTTGTACATTACACGTAGATGCACATGAAAGGTTACAATGTTCGCCATAGAAGTTACCTTTGCAACCTTCACAGATACCTGTTTCGATATGACAGGACTTAAGACAGTTCAGAGGACATTGTTTGTCACATTGGTCATTGTAGTATCCAGACTTACACTGTTTACACTCAGTATCTGACAAACATGTGATACAGTTGTTATTATTTATACAACATTTGTCACCAGAATAATTGTCTACGCAGCCACCAGAGCACGTGCCGTTATCTCTATCACATACTTTATTCAAACACTTTGTCGGGCATTTCTCGGAGCAAAGTGAACCATAAAAACCAACACCACATTTTTCACATTTATCTCCTGCAAAGTTCTCATTGCAATTATTACAAATGCCAGAGTCTTTCAAGCAGCCGCTCATGTCACAATTGACTGGACAGTCACTGTTGCATGAATTTCCATATTTGCCAGATATGCAATGATTGCACTGTACACCGACAAAGTTGTCAAGACATCCATTTGAGCATTCACCATTACTTTTCACGCATCGCTGATTTTTACAGCCAACAGAACAAGATATGTCACAGTTTTGTCCATACCAGCCTGTTAAACAAACGTCACATTTACCACCAACGATCGTGTTTATAGTACATCCGTCAGTACAATTTCCGGAATCTTTCTTACAGACATTACCTTTACATCCTGCAGGACATTCTTGATCGCACATATTTTCATATTTTCCGGTTATGCATTCGTCACATCTTTCCCCAGTAAAGTTAGAAGAGCAAATACAGTATCCAGTTACTATATCGCAAGTGCTTGACATACAACCAGGTGAACAACTGTTGTCACACGTCGATCCATATAGACCACTTTTACAAAGCGAGCAACGATTATAGGACGAACAACGTGTACAGTTATTCCGGCATTTGTATGTACAGTCGTTTAACAAAGGGAGGTTAATGTTGTCGTCCTGGTAACCTTTATAATAACCATCCTTACAAGATCCACAGTCTGTTTTTGACAGACACGTGACACAGTTATCTGGACATAAACTAGAACATATATTACTGGTATCGTAATATCCGCCCTTACATGACACACACTTACCATCATCACAATTACAATTTTCAGGACAGTAACGATTACTACAATCATTTCGACCATTGTCGTTATTATATCCCTCCTTGCATGATGTACACGTGATTCCTGACTTGCATGCTTTACATCCGGGTAAACACTTTGATTTGCAGTCATAAGCAGGGCCGGGGTAATATCCATCATAACACTCAGTACATTCATTTTTATCATTAATGCATTGTGTACAATTGTTTGTACATTGTTCATAACAACGTGCACCTCTATGACCATCAATACAGCCTAGAGAAGAACATTCGTCAGGAAACCATTCCCATTGCTCTCCTCCACATTTTTGATCTACACAGCATGCACAATTTACTTTACATTTTTCATCAATCTCTGCAACGAAGGAAAAACATTTTCTTATTTTATTTCATTAACATAACCACCACCTTTTTGTCTCGTATATTTTTCTTTTATGTATTTACATAATTTAAAGTGTGACCCAGACAAAATGTTTATTTGAAGAAAATTGCAATTTGATACGTAACGCATTACTTTCTGCTATAAATACTAATATAAATTTAGTTACCTCCTTCTACCTGGTTGTTACAGACATTCAACCACAAACAACACATGAACAATATCTGAAATATATCGTGCCACGTCAAATGTAATATATATATACACATAATTTCTAAGTTTAGTTTATATAATAATTTAATTGATAACGGTTATGTTTGTACTTAAACAAGTTTGGTTTTGCCAGGCTCCTTCCAATATTTACCAAAGTCAAAATAGGTTCCATTGAAAATTTGAAACTTACTAAAATGACTAGTAATTTTATCATTCTTTCATACACACAGCATTTAATAATTGAAATATGGTAGAAGAAAGACCCACTCTTTTTCATGAAAACAAATTTTCTTTCAGATTTAACTTTATTTTATGTATTAGATTATTTGCATTATTAATAATCTTATAACTTATTTGAACTACTCTTTATTTCGCTTCATAGGACTTACCAGTATTGTAGAAGCATGAGAATTTATTATAGTGACTCCGGTGAGTTCGAACCCATTACCCCTGGATTGAGAGGCTGATACTTTATTAACTTAGAACCATCTCGCGCTGTTGTTTTGATGCCTTTAAACTTTATGTTTTATCATTGTATTATGCGAATTGTGAATTTGAAATTAAGAATTATATAAATCGAAAATCTTTTAATTCAAGATGAACCCTTGTGATGTTATGTGTATCCAGGGTGGTCAATTAACCTCGTTAATAATGTGTTTAAATGTCTAGAGTTTTAATATCAGGATATCATTTTTACGATGATTCACAAAACTTGAAGAAAATAAACGAAAGTTGCATAATGAAATGAAAACTACAATTTGGATAAAGGATAATAATTATGTAAGATAAAATATTAAATAAATAAAAGCATACTAATATAAAAGCAATCAAAACATTTATCTGCGAATGGAAACGATGAACAGATTCTAAATAAATGATATTAAAAGAAAAATGATTGGTTTGCCAAATATATGTTTTTGAATAACTAAAAGATGGAGATGTTATACAATGTCCATGTCCAAAGGAATCTATTAGGTGACATTTATCCGATGACGCTTTATCTGGTGACGTTTTAAATGATTTGAGAGCACGATGCACTCATAGAACCATAGAAGATAAAGAAAACAAACGCCTATGGGATCATTAATTGCAACATGTTTAGTGTTGAAAAATGAATACTTCATCTTTGGTAAATGTAAAATCAAATTTATCACGCCCGTATTCGTACAAACTTTAGCTAATTGATTCAATCATCTAGACATCTTGTTCTAAAATTATCATACTATCAACCTTTGCATTTGTAGGTTTCGTGAAACAGCCTATCACTTCTTCTTTCGTTATTGGCAGTATGATAAATCAGAATTTCCTTGATACACGTAATCAATACTTTGAAATGAAATTGTTTTTTGAAAGCAAAACTATTGAACACTTTCTGTGTTTTTCGTCGTTTTTATTTCTTCTTCTGATATAAATTTAGAAGATAATGTAAAATATGTAGATGGCATGGTTGAATGAACTATTTGTAACGCCAAAATCTGTAACGACATCTAGTAAGAAAAGAAGCGGATATTCCAACTTAGCCTACTATATATTGAACTATTGGAAAAGTAAACAGACGAAAATATGTTATAATAAATCAAATTGAAAATAATATATTAGCGCGTAGGACTTTTAACTCTATTTACAAAAAAAAAGAAAAAAAAAATACCAAGAAAATCTTCGAGTTGTATCAAGTTTAACCACTTGTGTGTGCCATTGTTATTGTGGGATTTCGCAGCAAATGTGACATAAACGTCAAACTACGGACACAGTGCCATTAGAAAAGCTCACTTGAGCACATTGCTTAAATATGGGAGAAGTAATGAGAATTACATCCTGGGCACCGTCGACTCGTTGTAATAATAATATAAAGTAAGTACAGAAATGTATAATAAAACGAAATAAAATTGTAAGCAATCTACGAAAGTATAATATTAGTGTTGCTATTCAAAACTCTACGTACCAAATTTAAACTCCGCTTCATTGTCCCGAATATAGGAATAAAAATATTTATCCCGAAAACATCTCCACCAGAAATATTCAATGCAAACATAAGAAAAAAACTTACTGATCGGACATATATATTTTCCTAAGCAGGAAGTTTAAAAATGTGTTCAAGTGTAAGCGATACGTGAATATAGAGCACCAATCACTATAAGTCAATATTAATTACATTTTAACGGCTGAGTATCATGTTTATTACGACAATTTTTAATGAACGCTTTAAACATGACGAACCAATGCATGTTTGAAACATATATGTTTAAACCTGGTTTATACTGTATTAATGATATAAAAGTTATTCTTGTCACTTGTGTTTTATAAATGATTATGTAGAAAACGAGGGTGTTATGTAATTAAAAGTTTTTCAGTATTTTTCTAGGAACACATTATATGACATACATTTATTCATATCGCATTTTAATAACGAGGTGTCTGATAAACTTAGTGTATCTGATAAACTTGTGAAGTCTGATAAACCTGGTGTGTCTGATAAAGATATCTTCATTGGACTTTCGGTTTATTTACTAAATGCAAAATAAATACATATTTAATATAAAGAGGAGGTTTAAATTTTGGTCGCATGCTTGTACATATAATCTTTCTGAATTTTAGCCAATCTGCATTGGACTTTTTTTCTTTATTTTCCGGCTTATCAACATTTGATTGTGACAGATATTATTGTCTGACAAAAAGCAACCAAAGGATGTAAACATAAGACCCCGAATAAATGTCTGACTAGACTAAATAAAAAATATCAGACCTCTACAAAACCTTATCCGATAAACAATAACACACATTGGCCTAATATCATCTCAATACGAACGAACAAACGAACGAACGAATTAACCAATCAATCAATCAAGTAATCAATGATTTATACTATATTATGCATGTCATATCTGATTTGAAATAATATATTTCGGATGTATCGTCAGAGCTTGATACAGAATCTATTATCTCTTCTATATGTTTAATTCTAAATCTTACAAACAAGCATTATACCAAGTTAGGGATTCAACGATACGTAAAGTCATCTCGTATTATAAAAGTATTTAGTTTAGAAACTTAAAAGCTCGTCAAATTACGTCACATATTACCGATAAATCTTTAAATAAATATATTTGAAACTCACCAAACTATCAATAAAGATTTTATTAAAATATATCAAAAACTCAACAAATGATCAATAAAGCTTTTATTTAAATATATTAAAAAGATTTCTAAGATTTATAACACTTTTTCGTCTTCATACAAAGGTGTCTGTGCATTTACCAGGTTGTTGTTGAGCAATGAATGATTGAATATTTTGATCAAAAGAAAATTCCGCGGTACGAGAGTTCCATACGACAAAACGTATCGACTGAAGCTGTACTAGTTTATTTCTTTGTAATGAAATCGTGAAATCAAATTTAAACTCCGTTTAGAGAACATCTTGGTGACAGATTACGACCTACCGTTACCAAGAATTCTGATTTTAAAGTATTTGTTAAGGGTGCACAGATATAGAATATATAGATTTGAAACAGCTAAAATATTTGCGATATTTTGACAAGGGAACCAAACTTGTCATAGTTCATTCCCTATAAATGTAGTTTACCTTCAAACAATTGTTTTGTTTTTATGCGATCTATGAGAACATTTACGGCAGAAATAAAATGTGGAATTCAAAGCAAACTCATCAGGTAAAAAGATTTAAGAAATAGTTAAATTAATTGTTTTAAATGTATCTACGTACCAAAGATAAACTCCTCTTCATTGTTTCAAATTAGGGAATATATATTATTTATCAGTATAAATCCCAACACCGAAAAATTCAACATGTATTGAACATTTAATGCAAATTTAATTGTTGAAAAAGCACTTATTTTCCCAAGCAGGAAGTTTAAAGATTTGTTCAAGCGCGAGGGTAAGTTGTACAAAAAGAGGGAAAAGAAGCCCAACTACCATATTTTATTATTATATGTTAACGGTTGAACGATTATATCTAGTATTATGTTTAATACACTGAATAACATTGGCAGGTTTTATACTTGACAAACCAATGTGTATTGAAAGATAGCCTGTTTTAAAGTGTTTAAAAGCCAATTTTAGTTTCTTTTAGAGAATACTTATATTTGTAAAGCTCATAAAGAGTGAATGGCGCATGCATGGGATAATTGCTTAACACTAACAATCCTATTTAGTTCCGGATAATTTAGTCTGTTTATATGTGGTGTTGATACATTAAACGTATGTCCCAACAAGTATGATTATAAAAACAATATACTTTTACTTTGAAGAAAATATACAAAAATATTAAGAAGATATGGCTTTATATCCCCTTTAAACTTAAGGTATATTGTAATGGTATGAAATGTTTATTTATGTCACAGGCGTACCTTAAAATCTTCGATAACTTCAATGAATCATTGCCAACTTAATATAAATATGATAAAATCGTATTTCAAGGATTGTTTCTTTTCTTAATATTTTATGTTTGCCCACGATATCATAGATACAATACCCACGGTGACATAGATACAATACCCACGATGTCATAGATACAATACATACGATATCATAGATACAATGCCCACAATATCATAGATACAATACCCATGATATCAAAGATACAATACCAACGATATCATAGATACAATACCCACGATATCATAGATACAATACCCACGATATCATAGATACAATACCCACGATATCATAGATACAATACCCACGATATCATAGATACAATACCCACGATATCATAGATACAATACCCACGATATCATAGATACAATACCCACGATGTCATAGATACAATACCCACGATATCATAGATACAATACCCACGATATCATAGATACAATACCCACGATATCATAGATACAATACCCACGATATTATAGATACAATACCCACGATATCATAGATACAATACCAACAATATCAAAGATACATTACTCACGATATCATAGATACAATACTCACGATATCATAAATACAATACCCACGATATCTTAGAGGCAATACCCACGATATCATAAGTACAATATCCACTATATTATTGATACACTACTTATGATATCATAGATACAATATCTACAATGTCATTGATAAAATTACACAATTTTAAGTCATCATAACATTTTAAAATGATTTAATTAAATATTTCATGCACTTTAAGGATTATTCTCTAGATATTGAATATACGAAACATTATAATTAGAATTCTAAATTGCATAATTTTGATCAATTTAGGATGATTAAACACTCAGACGATATTTCAAAATATCCCATGCAAAGAATCTTCAGTTTTTTAATGACTATCTACACCGTATAGCTTTAGATATATTTAAACCTTTTATCTGTAAGATCAAACCTTTGTATGAGATAAAAATTTGATACTGATTTAAAGTATCACTAAAGAGCAGTGAACAAATATATACTTGTTATGCATGGGCTATCTTATGGACTTTTTAACGGGAATAGGAATATCAAGGTCATTAGAATTTCGTCTGCATTAAACCTTACCACACTATATAGTTTAGAAAATAGTAATACTGGATGTTAATTGTGTACTTTTAGATTTTGTGGTTTTTAATAAGGCGTATGATTTACTGCATTGTGTGACGATTTATTTTGCGAGTCCTCAAACAAGATAAAAGTATATAAAACATACATTCACATATATCAGCTTAACGCTCCAGGACGCATTTCAAATTCCTTGCTTTTTTGCAAAACATTTTATTTACATTTTAGTCAAGGACAATGTTTTCTTATCTCCGTATACAAAGACTGAACAACTTTCTTAGACTTAATATCAAAAACAAGTAATTGTGCGTAAAACTAAAGGGCACTGTTTTGAACTGGAATAAATGTTTCGGTGTAACAGAAGCTGCCGTTTTACATCGTCGGATACCCACGGCCGAACCATAAACATTTATCAGCCGTGGGATTTTTAGCCGATATTCAGTCGATTAGAGGTGTGTCAAAGACAGCTATTTCATTGGCTGCCTCACGATTTCATGATGCGATTAAAACCAATCAAAACGCTCGTTCTGTATGACGTTCGGTATTACAGACACTATTGCGACAACCATAGACGACGTGAATAGTTCAACATCGAATAAATTAAACGATTTACAGCAAGAAAGTATTGATAATTTACTTTTACAGCGTGATATTTTCCTTTCTGATTAATATCTGTTTGCAGAAGAACTGATTTGGCGATATCTTTTGCCATTGATTTTAGCAAGACACGTACAACAGTTTTTAACCGTGGGCGCTGCCATTTTGTTTCTTATTGTTTTTTATACCTCCACTGTTGAAGAATATAGATTTGATAAACGCGATGTCATTGGTAGATACTTAACGCACCTGTTGCCGTATATCGACGCAAATCGATTCATTTTACCCACGGTTGATTGCATGTTATGTAACATGTTTATCAATCGTGGGTATCCGACGATGCCGTTTTATTGCATTGTAATAAAACATCTATCTTTATCTATTCGTGAAATGGAGCAGATAGTATTTTGTGCCATATTAAGAATATTTAAACAATTGAATAGAAAATGGTCAAAAATTAAGTAAAAAATTGTATAGATTGCAAGACATGCACATAAATCTAAGTAAGTGTAAACAATAAGTGTACGAAGCAAAATTTTCTCATATAAATATATCACTTTTATTGAGAACATCATTGTTTTATAAACAAAATCGCTTTGGTCATTTACGAGACACATCAATCTTATTACTATTATCTTATAAATGAACTGTAAAACATAAAACAGTATGTTTGTGTAAATAGATATCAAGTACCTTGATAAAGTCAAATATTTTATAAGCTTTCATGAAAAGTCATATCCCATTTAACTAACAAATCTATGGAAATGTTATAATGTTTTCATAATGTATTTATTTAAGGACAACTCAACATTTTTTTCTCCAATACAATTAATACTCCAAAATTATTGCATTTAAACCGATAAGCGGGCAATCAAAATTTCTAAATTTACTATTTATGGGACAGTTCAACAGATACGGGACACGCCTGTTTTCCTTTCCACTTCATTTTTGTTATTGCAATTTAAGTTTAAATGTATTCGTTCATGAAAGTAAGTATCCATTGAACTCTATAACATTCAAAATGTCTGAATGTGCAATACAAGTTTAAATGTATTCGTTCATGAAAGTAAGTATCCATTGAAATCTATAACATTCAAAATGTCTAAATGTAAGCAAAGGGAAATAATAAGTTGTAGATTATTGATTAAAATCTGTAGGAGTTTCCCTTGGCCGTTGTATTAGTTAGTCATGCGTGTAATTGTTCCCGCCGTTTTCTGAGTTGTCATGAGTATGTTCTTCAGTTGTTTATAAGTTGATTATTTATTCTTGGAAAGGACTGATGTTTTAAGTTTAAGGTTGGTGAAGTTTTATATTGGTCGCTTACTTTGTTTAAGTGATTTACAAATGCGCTGTGTGTCTAAGTATATTAAAGAAGAAATTTATGTATATTGTACATAATTTGTTTACAATGCATCTGATAATGGCAGCATATTAAAGTTAATATCTATTTGCAGTAATTAATATAAATCACTGTCATTCTCTTTTGTGCACATGGTGCAGTAACACCACACGAAAGACCCAGCCAGCATCACCATATCGGGCCGATATAGGATTAATGTCGGCATGTCGGCAAAATATGCCGACTATTGGCCGACGTCGGGCCGCTGCAGTGCCGACATATTGAGTTTTTTGAAAAATTCCAATTGCAATGCCATTGTTTACTTAATAATGTGAATAAATTGTCCTGTGTATGATTTCAATTACTAGAACAATATTAACCACATTTCGTGTTAGATCAAAAAAGATACATCGGGTCTGCGTCGGGCCTACATGACCTATCAATGCAAGTATTCTGTATATCGGATTGACATCGGTACGATATTGCGTTTTCTGTTGAATTGAAAATCATGCAGCAAATAATTGTAAATTTTGATATGAATTTCTAAAATAATCATAGTTGAGTTTAAAAATGATATGTGGTTTGTTATTAAATTCAATATTTACGTTTTGACTACATAAAAATCACTCTTTTATTATATCTTAAATGAAAAGCATGAAAATATTCACTGCAGTCCTACAGTTAACAGATTAAGCGCCAAAAAGAAAAGCTAACAAAGGAAGGTGATGAAAAGCATGTTTTAATGTAATGATTATTCAACAAATCTGTTAACGCTGTTAATAATTTGATTTTTACACTTAAAATTATTGGAAAAACACAATTTATGTTTGTCTCTTTTTTAGATGTAAAATTATGTTTGAAAATATTTGTCACATGATTTCGCGGCATGCATTATCATGGTAGTGATTGTCATTTGCACATTTAAGTTAAAATAGGTGTCTTTATTGTCTAATTTTGTAGAATAATTATCTTTTATTTTGTGTTTTTGCAGGTTGTGCCAAATGCTTGCTGCTAGATGTCATCAACATGCTAGCATAAGGATGATACCTGGTCGATATAGGACCGATATCTTTCTACTGTTGGCTGACATCGCACCGCCATTGTTTTGATGTAGGCCCGATGTCGGCAAGAAATATCGGGCCTATATCGTTAAGATGTCGGCCCGATATTGTTCTGCCGATGTCGGGCCAACATCATTCCTATTTGCAGCCGAGGTTAAAGCCGACATCGGGCCGTCATAGAAAACCATGTCGGTTTGATGTCGGGCCGATATAGAATGATGGCTGGGGAGTATTTTTGAATGAGTGTCATTTGAGTCCAATTCACAATTAGTAAAAAATTCTGGAAACAAAGTGATCCCTCGGAAGCATTAATCACAACAAAATAACATAAGAATTGCAGACTCGGTTTGATTGAGTCTGTACATGAGGGATAATGAATA